GAAAGCATTCAGTTGGATCAGGAGGTCCTTTAATTAGAGTAGTTTTCAGTTGTTTACAATCTGGTGCCCAGACTACCTGCCTAGGGAGGTCTTACGGGTTAGGTTGGTGAGAGGTTTTGCCAGGGTACTGTAGTTGGGTAAAAATTTTCAGTAATACCCTGCCATTCCTGTAACGGATCACCTGGCACCCCGACTGAGTACCTCCGTTGAAAGATGCTCCTAGCGATTTACAGAGGGCTCCAAGCGCTCCGCAGACACCACAACCACCGCAGACCCCAAGAAACGCCGCAGCTTGGTTGGGGTCTCGCCGTCTCCTACCCACCCTGGACCTACGACAAGGCTCCAGGTTCCAGTGGGTGAACCTCTCCTCCAAGAGAGTGACGCAGGAACAAGCTCTTAAAAGAGCTTAGAAGTGATTATCCAAGGGAGCATACAGAGCATAGCAATCCCTTGCAGTGATATAGCAATTCCCCCAATAAGAGACAGTACTCTAGATTGAGGGTGAAAAAGAAGAACTGTCTAAAACTTTATTTTCCTTGGGACTAGCCCATATGGTCATTACATTAACATTGCTGTGAAAACTCAATAAAATTACAAACAGTCAAATCATAGCAGGCAACATACAGTGACTTATTATAACACAATGGCATATTTTTATAGAGGTTTGGGAGACAATAATTAACAGAAAATATCTCACGTGCCTGCAGAATTAGCAATATGCAATTCTACCTGAATATGCAAATGAACCAGTCTTGCTATTCAGTTAGTGCATATTACTGTTGCTACCAACAGAGGGCACTAGTCAAGCTCCATAGCCAAATCCACCTAGTTGGTAGCAAACCTCAGCAGTATAGGAGAGCAGGCAATACATCCCAGGGGCCATAGTCACATGGCAGGAGGCTGGCAGTCAGTCTTCTCCAATGCCCAGTGGCGAGGCTGGTTCCGCCACAGTTCCCAAAAAAGCTAGGACCTGAGTTTTAGTACGAGGGTAGGCCACTTTGCTACAGCTTCTACTTTGGCTGGTTCAGGTTTCTGCTGGACGCTCCCTACTCTGTGGCAGAGGCACTGTACCTTAGCCATCCCTATATGATACTTGCTAGGTTTAAGTGTCAACCCTGCTTCCCTGATATGGTCTAACACCGCTCCTATGTGGGTCAGGTGATCTGACCAGGTGTTGCTATAAACAGCGATATCATCCAGGTAGGCGCAAGCGTACTCCTGGAACCTGTGCAATAGCCAATCAACCATCCTCTGAAAAGTTGTCGCAGTGTTTTTCATCCCGAATGGCATGACCAGAAGCTGGTACAGGTCAAACGGGGTGACAAACGCCGACTTTGGTATGGCCTCTTCAGCTAATGGGATTTGCAGGTACCCCTTACAAAGATCTGTTGTAGTGAGGTACTGGCCCCTGGCCATCTTATCTAGGTGCTTGTCTATTCTGGGCATGGGATAGGTATCGGATAGGCACAGCCTCTGATAGTCTATACAGAAGCAGGTAGTTGCCCAGGGACTATCTGAATGTTCAATAACCCCTAACTGCCGCATCTTCTGAATGTCCTTGTGCATATTCTCCTTTACAGATTTAGGGATGTGGAAGGAAGGCTGGCATAACAGCAACTGACCTTGGGTTTCTACATGGTGAGTGGCCAGAGGAGTGTACCCAGGTAAGTTTGAGCATGTGGCTTCCTTAGCCGTAATCAACTCCTGGGCTTGGGTACACTCCTGAGGGCTCAGCTGTTCCCCTAACTGTACCCCTCCAAGGGCACCTGTTTGATCAACTTTCTCTAGGAGGTCTGGTAGGGGAAGGTTCTCAAAATCTTCAGGAAACTCAAAATCAACACTTTCTGTCCCACTTTGAAGCTGTGGTCCCTGGCTCCCCTATCATACCACCTGCGCTGGCGTTGTTGGGCCGCCTGAAGATTGTTTCACACAGACTGGGTTAGCTCCTCCAGGTCCCTGAACTCCAACACGTATGGGACAATAGGGACACCGTCTGCGCTAACCTCTCCCTCTGAATGCTCTCTAATTAAGTATAGGAGGCCTCTCACTCTCCTGCCAAACAGTAGTTCAAATGGGGAGAATCCAGTGGATTCCTGGGGAACCTCCCGGTACGCAAATAGTAGGAGCGGCATTCTGGTAAATCGTTCGCAGAGACCATTCGACTGTGGGTGGTATGCAGAGTTCACTATGGGCTTAATAATCTCCAGAGTAGGTGGGTACCCAGATCTGAAATAATCTCTCGGGGAATTCCTGTGCAAGAGAAAATCCGCTTCAGCGCATTCCGCACCAGTCTCAGCGTGGACATTGGTCAGCGATGATGCCTCTGGGTATCTAGTGGCATAGTCTACTATGGACAAGATGTATTTCTTGCCTGAAGGACTTGGTCTAGCTAAGGGCCCAACAAGGTCTACGGCCACCCTGCCAATAATGGGAAGAGGATGAAGTTTTGTCCTGTAGCGGTCCCCTCTCTCACCCACCCTCTGACAGGTGTCACAGGTCTGACAATATTAACGAATATCCTTTAAAATCACTGGCCAGAAAATGTTTTGTGTCAGTCGGTATTTAGTCCTGCTGACTCCTAAGTGTCCAGATAGCGGGATATCATGTGCTATCCAGAGTAACTCCTGTCTATACTTCTGGGGGACTACTAACTGTTTCATGGGGATCAGTACAGACCCAGCGACTATATTCTCTGAGTTCCTATAGAGTAATCCCTTGTCACAGGAGTATCCCTCCTGTAACGGACCGTTTTGCAGACAAGGGGTTAAAATCGTTTAGGCGATCGTCCCCTTCCAGAGATGCAGGCACAGCTACTGCAGAACACCAATCCGCCGAACAGGAAACCATACGAATGCTGTAAACAGACGAATAGGAAAAACCATACGAATAGGTTTACACTCCTAGCAGTCGAACTGGAACAACATACAATAAATCCCCCCAAGAACGAGACAAAGCTCTGTGTTGAGGGTCAAGCAGTGAACAGACAGAGCTCTGGGTTTATTGTGCTTATGTACACATTCTTACACATTAGTACCACCCACTGGGTTTTGGAACACAACCAATAAACACATACAATAGAAAAATAAAGATAAATTAGGCGCTCACTATAGCAATAGAAAAAATAGCAAATGGGCAGCAGTAACCACACAAGGATTCCCTACCTTGTTACAAGACAATAGTGAACAAAGAAAAAAAGGAAACCGCGCCCTTCTTATGATACGTAAATACGTACTCAAGTCCTTATGGTCAGATACTTGCAATGATGTACCTCAAAAAGAAAAAAGAATATACAAATAGTGTAGCACTGTTAGTATTCCGTAAGTGAACAAGAGATAAATAGATGTACACTCACATGTGCCAGAGCTAGAAACAGAGCTCTACTGTTCATGCGCATAGACGGAACAATCCCCGTCTTTAAGAATACTAACAGTGCTACACTATTATTTGTATATTCTTTTTTCTTTTTGAGGTACATCATTGCAAGTATCTGACCATAAGGACTTGAGTACATATTTACGTATCATAAGAAGGGCGCGGTTTCCTTTTTTTCTTTAAACACATACAATACACTCAGACATTCCCACACAAAATCCTCCCCTCTGCCTGTGATACAATTAACTTACACAATGGGTAATGTAATTTAGCACAAGCAGAGAAATACAATTTTCCCACATTATTCATAACTTGAAAAGTATGCATCAGATTCACATAAAACTTACATTTTCAGAATCAGCATACTCCAAACACAAACATACGTCATTGGTCCAGTGGTTCAAAAGATAGATCATAGTCCTATGTGACCACAGGAAGCATGGCTTTTCTGCCCAAAACCAGTTCCACAGTAATCCAATTATCTCCAAAGACAGAGGCAAAACTCCATTGAACATATGGCAGCAAAAAGACAGTAAAATACAGTAAAATACACAAGGTTACATTTATGACATAAAATACAGACATGCAACATATGCCCAGATAGCTTAGGTCTGAGCGCACATTAATACTGAATGGCGCTCAGACCACAAACACATACAGTTCAATTGCCATGGAGCCAAAGTCTTTTATTACATGAATAGGCTCCATGGCATACCTACAGGGAGTGCAGAATTATTAGGCAAATTAGTATTTTGACCACATCATCCTCTTTATGCATGTCGTCTTACTCCAAGCTGTATAGGCTCGAAAGCCTACTACCAATTAAGCATTTTAGGTGATGTGCATCTCTGTAATGAGAAGGGGTGTGGTCTAATGACATCAACACCCTATATCAGGTGTGCATAATTATTAGGCAACTTCCTTTCCTTTGGCAAAATGGGTCAAAAGAAGGACTTGACAGGCTCAGAAAAGTCAAAAATAGTGAGATATCTTGCAGAGGGATGCAGCACTCTTAAAATTGCAAAGCTTCTGAAGCGTGATCATCGAACAATCAAGCGTTTCATTCAAAATAGTCAACAGGGTCGCAAGAAGCGTGTGGAAAAACCAAGGCGCAAAATAACTGCCCATGAACTGAGAAAAGTCAAGCGTGCAGCTGCCACGATGCCACTTGCCACCAGTTTGGCCATATTTCAGAGCTGCAACATCACTGGAGTGCCCAAAAGCACAAGGTGTGCAATACTCAGAGACATGGCCAAGGTAAGAAAGGCTGAAAGACGACCACCACTGAACAAGACACACAAGCTGAAACGTCAAGACTGGGCCAAGAAATATCTCAAGACTGATTTTTCTAAGGTTTTATGGACTGATGAAATGAGAGTGAGTCTTGATGGGCCAGATGGATGGGCCCGTGGCTGGATTGGTAAAGGGCAGAGAGCTCCAGTCCGACTCAGACGCCAGCAAGGTGGAGGTGGAGTACTGGTTTGGGCTGGTATCATCAAAGATGAGCTTGTGGGGCCTTTTCGGGTTGAGGATGGAGTCAAGCTCAACTCCCAGTCCTACTGCCAGTTCCTGGAAGACACCTTCTTCAAGCAGTGGTACAGGAAGAAGTCTGCATCCTTCAAGAAAAACATGATTTTCATGCAGGACAATGCTCCATCACACGCGTCCAAGTACTTCACAGCGTGGCTGGCAAGAAAGGGTATAAAAGAAGAAAATCTAATGACATGGCCTCCTTGTTCACCTGATCTGAACCCCATTGAGAACCTGTGGTCCATCATCAAATGTGAGATTTACAAGGAGGGAAAACAGTACACCTCTCTGAACAGTGTCTGGGAGGCTGTGGTTGCTGCTGCATGCAATGTTGATGGTGAACAGATCAAAACACTGACAGAATCCATGGATGGCAGGCTTTTGAGTGTCCTTGCAAAGAAAGGTGGCTATATTGGTCACTGATTTGTTTTTGTTTTGAATGTCAGAAATGTATATTTGTGAATGTTGAGATGTTATATTGGTTTCACTGGTAATAATAAATAATTGAAATGGGTATATATTTGTTTTTTGTTAAGTTGCCTAATAATTATGCACAGTAATAGTCACCTGCACACACAGATATCCCCCTAACATAGCTATAACTAAAAACAAACTAAAAACTACTTCCAAAAATATTCAGCTTTGATATTAATGAGTTTTTTGGGTTCATTGAGAACATGGTTGTTGTTCAATAATAAAATTAATCCTCAAAAATACAACTTGCCTAATAATTCTGCACTCCCTGTATCTGGGTTATATGAGTTCATTCAGTAAATCCGAGAATCTACCGAACACCAGGCAGAAAAGCACGAATAAGTCTTTTCTGCAGTGAAAAAGATGTCTTTTAACATGGGGGCCATAGTCCAAAGGCAGCAGGCGAGCAACCAGGCTTCTCCAATGCAATGTGGCGAGATTGCTCTCGTCACACCTCCCCCTCCAATCTTGCCTGACTGGAGGTGACCCGATCTTTATACACCTGTAATGTGGGCTCTAAGGCTACCTCCCTCTCAAATCAGCAGGGGCATCCCAGGAAAGGTTCTCTATGTGTTGGGGTTGGTTGCTTACCTGAGCCTCAGAGTGTGGTTATTGGTCCGTGGTGTGAGCCTGCTGCCGGGGGGTTAGGTTGGGGCACAAAAGCAGAAGTTAGTTTACCCAGGTTGTTTCCAAGGAGCACATCTGCAGGTAACTTCTTCATCAAGCCCACTTCCACAACTGCCGCCCCCACACCCCAATGCAAATGGACCCAGGCAGTGGGTAGGCGTAGTAAGGCTCCCCCTGCCACCCGTACTGATCCTCCTGTATGTGCAGTGTCTGGAACCAGGTGGCATTTTATAAGTGTTAAGGTAGCGCCTGTGTCACTGAGCCCCTGAACATGTTTCCCCGCCAAGCATACCGTTTGTTGGTGGTGCTGCTGATAGGGTTGGCCTCGTGCAAGACACCCAGTTGTTCCTCGGTGTAGTCAGGAGGTGGATCGCTGGTAGTGGTCTCCATTTGATAATAGTAGGTCACTGCTCTGCTTTTGGGTGGTTGCCTAGGCTGAACCAATGTGTTGCGGTTCTGGTTCTGGGGCACTCTCTCTGTACATGTCCCAAGTGTTGGCACTGATGGCATCTAATATTGGAGCAAGGTTTAAAAGAAAGATTATACCAATGCCCGAACTATGGGAACTACTGACTAGGGGGAGCATTCACTCCCTGAAATTTGGAGAATCCCTTGTATGATGTTCGCACAGGAACTCACGAACAGAGACTTGTTGGGACACCTATTTCCTTGGAACTAATTTGAGCCGTCACCTCATGGCCGGCTGGTCAAAAATTTAGCCTGCTGGCGATCCAATTCAGCAAAACTGATCTGAGTGATACTTAGCCAAATAGGACACTCAGACCAGAGCTATCCATGGATATAACTCCTGTGGGGTTCCTTGTTATATTCGGGGTACCTTTGGGGGACCGTATATATTGTAAATATTTTCCTGTATCTGAGAGATAATTGAGTTATAATTCTTTCTCTCAATTACTTCTCAGACAGAGAGGCTCTTGGGAGTAAAACCCCTGGGATTTTGTGTTGCAGACCCCATAGGGGTCAGTGCATAAAAGCTATGTGTCGCCAAATAAAAAACAGTTGACTCCCAGAACTATGTCTCGTCTAGTTACTGGGGGATGGATGCTTTAGTGTCTAATGGTTCCAGTTTGGCTGAGAAGAAGAATTAGCGGAGGTAATCAGTCGGGTTACCCAGGGTCCACTACACTACTCTATGCATGCGTACAATTTAATTCAGAATTATGCACTTTTTTAGTATAGGTGATGTTTTGGTGACCGTTTGGCCACACCTTTTTTGCACTTATTCCACGCATGCGTACCTGAAGGGTCCATTTTTTGCATTCTACCTTTGGTGGATATGATTGTGTATGACGCGCTTTCGGAGGGGCTCATCTCTGGTTTAGAGCCTTGTGCATTCGTGTCTCTATTGTTAATTTTTCACTCTTCTTTATACTATGTGAGTCTGGCGCTCATGCACATTCATAGCGGGTTATTTTCCGATCTGTATTCCACCTTAGATGTAAATGCCAAAATATGTTCCATTGTCTTTTTATTTATTTTCTTATGATGCACTGATTATTTTTGATGATTGTCTTATGATGCACTGATTATTTTATGATGTACTGTGTGCCTAAATATGCATTTTGCTCCATGTGTAGTTAGCTAGACAAAGACCTTTGTTTCGATCGAAATGTTGCTCTTATGCATTTTGATCCAATAAAGCTGCTTTATATTTTTACCCTTTTTATATTGGCTGCCACTCTCCTGTATGCATGCTTTTTGTGTGCAGGAGGGTGACTTGCTCAGTGAACTGCTGCTGCTAGCTGAGGCTGATATGAGTGAGTGTGGGGTCTGCAGCAGCTCACTCCTGTGCTTCTTTCTCCCTGTTGCCTGTGTGACCACCTCCTCCTCTTGCGTGGTGCTCTCTATATAAGCTTATAGTGGGGCCATCCTGATTTCAGGCTCCTGTCCCACCATGCCGCTTCAGTTTGCTGGAGTCCTATCTCTGGAAGCACCAGGGAACTGTTCATTAGATGCACTCCGGATGTGCACTGTGCAATATGGCCCTGCAGGGAGCACTTCAGCAGTGCTCTGTGCATGGTCCTAAAGGTTATGAGCCCGCCATACAGCCTGTCAGCAGACTTCCTGTCCTGTCTCTTTTCTATGTAAGCAGCCCTTTAAGGACGTAGTCAGTGATGCATGCCACATCATCTTAATTCCATACCTCCCATTGTTGGGAGGTATGTCAATGTCATAAGAACTGTCTCACCTCACCATGCAGACACCAAACACCTCTGGTGACATCTTATGTACTTATCATAGACTTAAAGCCTGGTCAAAATCAGATGCCAGAGTTTTCCATGAATTGGAAAGAGCTGGAGAACGTTGAGAGCTACTAACCTGTGCATAAACACACACAGTGCCGGTCTAACAAGACCTTCACAAATTCTCCTTTTATCACTGTGCCATCAGACATCCCAGCACACCTCCTGCTATTGTAAGGTGCAGAAGAATGAAATGAGGCTGCAGCCCACAAGTCCTATATGCTAGCAACCAGGTGGGCATCCTGTCTCCTTTGCCAACCCGCCCTTGCTTGAAAAGCAGCTGGCAAAATTCAGGCTAAATCCCCCAAGTTGTTTATCACTTTTTCATCTATTGTAGGATAGATTGTTAAGCATCCACCACATTTTTTGTTGTCTAGCCATATTGCTTACTTATGTAAGTTGTCGTTTATTTGTTTGTTTGTTTTTCCTATTCATCTACACATATTCTTCTCACAAAGCATTTTTTTTTTTAAACTAACAAGACACAGGGTTTTTTACATTTTTCTGTGACAATAGTTGGGTTTGAAATAAATTGTTATGTGTATAGTGATTAAAGACCGAACACAAGATGGCCAACCAATGGAAGTTGCAAGTCGAGGTGGACAACCAGCGTTGACCAAAAGACAGTCTGTAATTAATATTGTGACTGTGCAGTACAATGCCAGCTCTGAAAGACTAATCGTACATTAACATTAAAGGTGTTAAGTAAGCCACAAGAAACACACAAACACAGGAAATTGTGTATTCCCTAATTTAAGAGACTAAAACACTCAACATTGGAGAACTGGAGAAATCCCATTTACAGTTGTCATGTCGATGGGAGAAACTGGGAATGGAGAATATAGTATGAATATTCTTTAAGTTCAGCCATCCACCACTCTGTCAAAATATGCTTTTTGACGTGAGGTGTGATTTCATAATGCATGTTAGGATTCTTAAATAACAATAACTCATTAGTACATCTCTATAAATTGATGTTTCCAGGTTATGTCCAGTGTTGGAATTATGTTTCTATTATATGTAGATAGAGAATTGTCAGGCCACCCTGACCTCTCCCCTAAAAATCTTTTTCTGTGTTGCTTGTTCCATGATTTAGAGTCAGGGAAAACATTTCTCATTCCATTCCTCCACAAAGAAGAAAGATTCAATTACCCATCGTAAAATGTAAAAAAGTATATTCAAATTTCTCGATTAGAAGGACTAGAAGGAATATCTAGCTGCCTACGCTGCCCCTTTGGACATCCAGCCTCGATAATGCTCAATGCTCTATGGCTGGGCAGTGTCGAAGAATGATTTCCATGAATTGTATGAACAGGTATCTGAATTCAGCCTACTGTAGGGGATTACTCAGTTATCCAGTAAAAACCCACGCTTAAAAGTTGGAAGCCTTTACACAATTGTGGAAAACATTTACATCAAGGAGGTTCTGTGACTTGGTTTTAGCTGAATCTTATTTTTTTTTGTCCCTCTACTTCTTACTGTTTTTATTTTATTTATTTATATATTTTTTTTATTTATCTTAGTTTTTTAGTTGCACATTCTTTTTCTTGTGGAGAGCATGATCTTTGGTGATTTGTTTGCAATGGTCGAATCTAAAGCAAAGTTCTATTTCAATTGCTAAACTAATTTACCCAAAATCCATCTGTCAAAAGAATCGCAGAGAAGGACAAACAGCAAACTTTATGGACGGTGGAGAACAAAATGGAGGCACCCAGGTATTAAGTTCAGGCACAAGGAAGAAAAGATAATAAATATAAGTAAAGGCAAATATCAAAGAGAGACGTATAATCAATAAAATACAGGGGGGAAAAGGAAAAGAAACATGAAAGAAAAGAAAATATGGCAGATCTATTTTAACATATGAAATGTTATCAATACAGAGTCCATGCTTCATATATATCCACGCAGATAATTGCAACACTGTCATCTAGAACTTGCAGCACATGTATTACCTCCGAATCAAAT